TGAGGTACAACTTGCACCTCTCAAGACTGTCAAAACAATGTGAGTTTGTATCTAGTATCCTTCAGACACATGGTTTGATTTAGATGAGGAAGTGATGATTTCCTAGCTATTAGCTTGGGATTTTTTGTCAAATGGATTTTTGTTTTCAAGAGTGATAAAGAGCAGTAAAATGTGTTTGTGCAGCAGTGTAAATAAATGTGTCTGTATTAGGGATGCACAATATATCTGCCGGCCGATATGTTCATTTTTAATGTTATCGTTATCGGCCTGGTAAGAAAATGTGGCCGATGTATCAAAGCCGATAAATAATGTATTATTCCCTTCAGCTGAGACACGTGTTGAGCACTGTTTGTTTTTGATTTTCTTGAAATATTATTGAAATCTCTTTAAAAAAAATGAAAATATGGTTCGGTACAACATGTGCAGCGCAAATCTGTCATATCGGCTATACAACACTATAATGAGAACATCATTAATTGTGCGCTTGGGACATGGATTTAATTGTGAGACTTTTGTTTTTGTAATCAGGCTCTCAAAATTAGATAAAAATTTGTATTTAACTTTATCGGCCGATATATCGGTTATCGGCTTTCAAATGTAAAGAATTATCGGAATCGGCCAAAATGTTCATATCGGCGCATCCCTAGTCTGTATGTGTGATTGAGAGACTGTTGAATAAAAAACCTGATGCTCCTCTGTTAATGAGATTAAGATCTGAAAAAGCCCTCATGGCCATCTCTGCATCACAGTGACAATGAGGGATTCTGGTAACACACTGCTGTTGCATTATAGGTTTAATGAGTCACTTCTTCACATGCATGCACTTAATGTGCAGTTCCAGTAAAGAGCAAATTGCAAGGCAATGATTGTTGTTTTGAGCATTTGTAATCAATAGCATTTAATAATGTGAGACAGATTTGTAGATGAGTCTGAAATCGATATGGTCAGTAATGCTTTTATTATAAATAATGACTACTAATGAGACAGTCAATAAATACATTTAGGCATGATGCACAGTTTTTTAATAAACTCTTGAGCTTCATTATTTTTTATAACATCTTCTCAATTGTTGTGGTCAGTTTTCTTGAATCTCTCCCCTGACTCGCTCTGGTTCAGAAGAGTTTGTCTCCGCCCCCTTTTCAGCCACTGCATTGGCAGTGACTCACACCTGATGATGTCACACTTACTCTGTTGCCATAGCAGTTGTTATGGAAACAGCAGACAAGGTTTCAGTGGCAAAGGCTTTCAGAATTAGAACTCAATAAAGAAATAAGCCGCTTGAGGCTGTGCATTACAATCATTTTACTATTCATATTTAAAGTGTTCTAATAGGCACAACATGCAATGCAATGCATGCAATGTTAAAATCACTGTAACACATGACTGTGAACTGCTTTTATTGCATTCATAAAATGATAAGAAAAACAGGAATAGTTAGGATAGCAAAATAACTGACGTGTCCATCTTCATCTGACAATGGCAAAAATGCTAAAGCTGATTAAAATTTTTTTTTCCATTTGTTTGCCTGGTAAATGCTATTTCTACATTTGTCTTAAAGGGTAACTAAACCCTAAATCAACCTTTTTTAGTTAATGATCTGTAAGAATGGGGCTTTATTAGTGATGATGATCATTGATTCAAGTAACTTTTTTGACATTTGGGTATAAAGTATTTTAATTCTAGAATATATGAGTGCTGCCCTCTTCAGTTTGAACAGTGGCTACTGCAGTAGAATTTTCCTATTAGATGTTTGCGGTTCTTCGTGACGTACGCGGGTAAGCAGATTCCAGCTCACCACGCCCTTGGGATGAGCTACCACGCCCTCGGCTGTTTAAAAAAACATCTCGTTTCGTCAAAAACATAGACAGTAAAAGAAATGGACACAGTCAGCGACCCCATTGATTTCAATGGCGAGACTGAAGCCCAGTTATTGCACTTCCTGCCTGATGTCTGAGCGATTTCGCAGGCTCAAACTGAGCTTGACGACAGTCTGACAGTTGTAAATCTTCTAGTAGCTGTGCCAAGACAAATCTGAATCACCTAATTCCTCAAAAGCATTGTTGAAATTTTTTGTCCCGTTGCTTTTATGGACTCTCTATCTATGGGCTTCTCCCTTGACTTTATGCGTCCATGTCCTGCCGATTGCCTCATAGACAGTAAAATATTGGCTGCGAGCTAAGCTTCTCCTCCTGTCCATACGGTAATGTCTCTATTGTGCGACAGAAAGTCCTGTGGTTATGACGCATTTTTTAGCCTCCTTTTACAAAAACTGCTTCTACGGGGCCGTAACATAAGATCGCGATGTGGGAATTAAGACTCAAACTGATATGGCCCTGTGTCCACAGACAATTCAACATCCTCCACTTCTGGTGAAGGTGGGGGAGAAAAGTCCTCGACTTCAAATGACCACTCTATTGCAAAGCTACTTGAGTCACTCCAGTCATTCTCCATTTTATAATCTGATAGCACCTGCCACTGCGGGTCTCAGGTGCACCCCCAGAGCGCAGACATATAGCGCCATTGCACTTTGGGCAACCTAGTTTGAGTCCCCCGGCTCCCCCCAGAGCGCAGACATATAGCGCCATTGCACTTTGGGCAACCTAGTTTGAGTCCCCCGGCTCTTGGACCTTTGGATCTGGAACAAAACTGTCACTGGGCAAAAATGTTTATATGCAATTAATTTGAAATCAGTAAGCATTTTTAAACTGCCAATAAAAGGCATTTTTACTGAAAAATGAAATGTTTAATTTGTTTTTTATTATTATTATTTGATTTATGTTATGTCAGTTCACAATTAGGAATCCAAATGTCAATGGAACTTTCAACTACATTGTTGAACGCAAAAGCCCAATTTATATTTCTGCGTCGAACTCAGGGCATAGCTACGCCATAGGCTGTTTGTTACCTCTCCAAAAATGTAACAACGCGTCAATACCGCAAGTGCTGTGATTGGTCTGCTAGAACTGTTCCCCGGGTTTCACATGCTCCCTCTGCATGTGTAATTGCGCGTCAATGCGGACAACGACGCAGAAGTATGAAAACCAACGTGTAGTCTATAGCGCAGAGGCTTCGCCGTAGGTCCAACGCTGAAGTCAACACAATCTGACACAATCAGCCTTTATACTTCCCATAGACCACAGGGAGTTTGAGGAGCAGTGCCATCCATCCCTGTTTACACTCAACATGATAAAATATCAAAATATGCTGCACACACGCTGCTGTTTTTAAATGTCAGTTTGTTTTATTACATCTGTTAAAGTCCGCCTCTGTTTATATTTTCGACCCGTTTCTAAATACAGCTCAAGCATTCAGAATTCAGTGTCAGAACTACAGTAAATGTGGATGAGAAACTTCAAATAAAAGATTTGCTGTTAATATTTGATTAAGGATGAATATAATAATAAAAAGCTGAGTTGTGTGTACCTTTACAAGTTCCACCAACATTGTTTGTTAGACTGATACAAGTTACAACACTTGTGGTGTTATAATGAACATTTGTTCAGTATGGATCCCTGCTGAAAAACAGTGGGAGACACACGGCACGACTACTTTGTTGTTCTCTGACATAATTTGATACTTGTGGGTGTTGGATATCCTCTGCAATTTAACCTGCTGCCCCAGTTCTGCCCTCAGCTGCAGGGCCCACATAGCACTGATGTTTTATTCCTAAGCTCTCCTTCATCACAGTAACAAGACACAAAACACTAGCTCAAAGAAAGAAAGGCTGATTACTGTTAGTTGTTTATCCAATTATTCTGTGTGACGTAGAGCCTGATATGTTTTTGTTGTGTCAGTGGAAGCTAAACAATGTTGTGTCTAACATTTGAGGATCACATAAGCTGCTGCTGGATTGCTTTGTCGCATCTCGAAAATAGATATACTAACTGAGAGAGTCAAGAGAATTTTGTTAATCCACTGGCATTTTTATTATAAAATTTCACGCGTACGATCACACCGGTGTAATTAGAACAGTCAGTGCATCACGTCATCAACTGCTAAATTCAAACTTGCTCTCGCGCGTTGGCTGGCGCTGAGCCAGAGACGGATGCACTCAGTGCTGTCATATATCACAACTATTGAGTGTTTTCAACCACATAATGTTTATTTTAGGTTTCAGACATTTAAATACACTAAAGTACTAGCAAAACAATGATTTTGAGTTAGTAAAATACACACTGATGTCTATGGAAACGGCAATAATAATCCTTTCAATTATAATAAGACGACACGTTTTATTCATATCAGATAGCTACACATTGTGTAAGTAGCTTAACATTTGACCCTATTCTTCTCCCAGTTCACTGGCCACTTACTTTCATGTATTTCGTGAGAAGTGGAGGAATTGACGCTGTATATCCAACAGATCCGATTCTCTGAACTGTAAAACAAACTTAAATGGCGCCGCCCAATGTGCATACAGCTCAGCTAACGCGATCGTTATAAAGATGTTTAAACAACAAAAACCTATTCACTTGCACATATTTGACAATCGGAATATCAGTGTTTCATGCTATAGCTAATACATTTTGGGAATATTTTTAATAAAAAAGGAAAAATGACATTCATTCAACATTCAATCAACATTCATTCAGCAATGTGTGTGGTTGTGCTGTGTCACGTGACAAGCAATGACGCGTCACCATGGAAACATTAAAGTGGCAAGTTCTAAATAACGGTCGCCTTGAAAAACTCACGCTCGGGGGTTAGTTAGAATATTTTAAACTTACGTTTGAAAGGGTTAAGATGAGTATATATTATTAATATTATTATTATTAGTAGTAGTAGTGCAGTCAAAGAGTCCTGCTGACTCTAAAGTCATATAAATAAATGACTTTATATTTAAGCACTAAGCAGTCAGGTCACTGTGGTCAGTGGACAAATATTGGTCATTCATGTTGGGCAATTATCACAAAATATCACAATAAAACCCAACAAGGTCATCAGAACCTCAACAGAAAGCAAAGTGGGTCATTCATGGGTCTTTGTCTTTTCTGTCTTAGTTGTGGGACATTGTCCTCGGAGTCTGGACTGTGCCCGGGAGCGGCGGCACTTCTGCCAGCCTGGCTCTTCACACTGCGGCCCATGCCTAGACCCATTCATGGAGAACAAACGAGGGAAGTGTGTGGTCAGGAGAAGAAATCACTCTGGTGAGTACTGTCTTTTTCAAGGAAAGTCAGTTCCCATAGCAGCCATATTTTTAACAGCTCTGGGAAGCATGCAAGACCAACTTTTATGAATAGGGAAATACAGAAATCTGAAACACTGCTTGCCAAATTCACATTTAGATAACATTACAAATCAGCAACCAAATCTGACATTAACTATCCCATGAATGTTCCTTGAACTTATGCACAAATGCGTATACTTTAGGTTATGCATTCCTAAGCACAAGGTTTAAGCACACTGACTGTTTCTATGCAAACCAGAGCTTCTAATGCAGTGACTTAACCAATTTGTGACTGGATTTTTTCTTTTTAAGGTGAGACTTATGCCGCCATATTGGTATTTAATTATACAGTCTTTCGTCATTGTAGAGTATTATTATTACTGCACAGGGTTTAAAGTTTGTGTTGGAAAATATCTTTCACTGAAAAAATCACAGCAAGCTGTTTTCAAGACTGCTACAGTTCTGTTTTGATATGTACATTTCAAAATGTAAGATAGCATTTTTAGGCTTCCCCATCAATAGCTTTTGGCATATGCATTGAACTGCAGTGGAAGACCTCTCACTCCTTGCAACCTTCTAGTCTGGCTTCCCTCTGCCCCTCTTCCACCCACACATTGCTGCAGAATGCAACAGGAAGGAGGGGGGCTAATGAAATAATTCAGCCGTTCTCTTTCTACACTGCAGTGGGAGGAATTGACAAATGCTTAGGTTTAAAAAAAATACCAGTAAGCAGCCTTTAGATGTAAATATCCTGAAGTGTTTCATTTTCGTTTTTCAGCCAAAAAAAGTTAATTTTGACTACAGCCTTGAGGATTATCGATCAGTAATTTTCCAGTGTTGCTGTAGGAGGGCAGTGCTGTTGACACCTAATCGATAGCACTCACTAGCCAGGAGCATGAACAGCACCCTTTTCTTCTCCCTCTTTTAACTCTCTTTTTTAATGTTTATTCAGAAGACCTTTGAGACATCACATATTTTTCACAGACCTTCCCACTACTCTATTGCTCTTTAGCTTATGACAAAGCCTTTGGGTCTCCTTTTCTAACTGCGTTTTATGCACAGACATTTTGATTATTTCAAAACCTGTGTGTGCATGGTTTCACATCAACTGATGATTGATCTACATAAGTTTGCATCTTAACTCCTGCCATTAACAGGTTAACTCATCATTTATGAGAAAATGCTTCCCAGCTAAAGACGTTTTTTACGGCTTTCCTTGTTATCACTGTTATATGGTGTAGGGGGCGCTATTACACATCTCATGAACGAGTACAAAATCTCCAGATCAAAACAGTTAAAAAAGCAGCAGAAACGAGCGATCTCGTATGTAAGCAGATACATATGAAAATAGCAATAAACAGCATATAAATCAAAATGGCCTTATGTTACTCAAAAGAAATGTTGAAGTAAAATGCACACAAACATTTCCCTGCTTGATATTTCAACCACTGATAAACAAGCGGTTTTAAGCGGCTCCAACACATATTAGATCTCATTAAACGACAAATTAAACACAATGTACTACTTAAATCGATTGCTGACCGTTGATGTAATTGTACATAGGTACATCTGATTTATGATTTAGCATTGTATAGTGCGCCGTGATCGTGATGAATGACTTGCACGGGAGGTCCGCCCATCTGTAGTTTTGCATTGCTCAGGTCCTCCACCAGTTTGGCTTTCACTTTGTTGTAAAGTTGAGGCAAAACATTTTGACTAAAATATGGTCGGCTCTGTAGTTGATATCTGGGCTCTATTACACGTACCAAATGCGTGAATCCGTCATTCTCAACAACTGAAAATGGGCGCATATCCAGCGTCATGCTGGAGCACGGTCTGAGTTGGCCTAATTCTAAAGACATGAGGAAGAGTTACCTGTTTTTGAGGTCTCTTGTGTGCTGCTGATATTAATGTCAAAATGATGTGTCTTGAGATGCATATGTATGTTAGAAGTGTTTTCCGCCACATGAGAAGCTTTTGTGAAACACTTACGACGGATGACGTGCATTTTGTCTGACACAATTTACATTATTGTACTCCACTTGAAAACCAAAAATGTGTCCACACAGGAGATGTAAATGTGACCTGAGGGTCTGCAATCTCAAAATGACAGAGTTGCCATCATGCAGTGCGTATAAACTGCAGAGTGTGATCAATCACCCAAATCACCTGACATGCTGTTGGTTGGAAGACAAATTTAGTAAATAATATTATCATAATAATATTTAGTAAAAATACACCGTTTATTAGTTGTTAAAAGTGTACTAATTATTATTTAATCAAAGGTCAAGGAAGATAAAAATAGTTTTGTGGGGTGCTGCATGTATGTATCGAGCATCTGTGTTGAGACCAAGACCGGCCTTGAGGCATACATCACTAATAGTTACTGCATTAAAACACATGTGTTGTTTAATTGATTTGGTGAGGAATGATATGTTAGCTATATTTAATTCTTCGCATTGTGATTGTTCTATATCTAGCCATATAATATCGGATTGGGTGGGGTGAATCCATTTGTATATGTATTGCAGTTAGTTAGCCATTTCCTAATATTGAAAATTTGAAAATTTTGTGAAAATTTGGTGCTTCTAGTCCTCCTTGAACCTTGTTTTTTTGTAGTGTAGTGAGTTTTATCCACATTAAACCCACCTTGAACCTTGTTTTTTTTGTAGTGTAGTGAGTTTTATCCACATTAAACCCACATGACTAATCAGCTGTTTCCACCAATGGAGTTTTAATTACTGTTGGTTGCTAGGTTACCGATACCACTGTCATCGCTCAAACAACTTGATGGAAATGGACCTTTTTTTAAAAAATTTTAAAAAATTTGCTTTACGTTTGGATGGAAACCCAGCTACTCTCTTTTAACTTACTAAGAGCTCTAATTGCACATAGTTCTTCAGTTATGTTGCATTCAATAAGTAATTGTATGATTCACTATTTACAGCAAGTTAAGTTAAGCAAGTGGCTGATTTCAGTTTTATTAGTGTAGTTTTTTTTTAATTTATGTGTTTAATTATGTGCTTGTTAATGCATTTAATTATGCAAGTATACACTTTTAGAGCTTCCTATTTGAAATGCAGATTATCTACTAGTCTGTATAGGCCTATTAATGAAATTTCAAGGTCACTAGACAAAATATGTATCCCTTAAAAAGGTTGGTTGGCTTAAGCATCTTTTTCTCTCTCAAATACACAAATACATACAGACCTTCTCTCTCTCAAACACTCAATTTGTCATTTCTCTTATCCTGCTTGTGAAGTTTTTGCTCTTGGCACTTTCCCAGTGGTTGCCGTGGTGACCGATTTCATTCATGAATCTATGGAATCCCCTCCCCCTATCTCTCCCCGTCCGCCTGTACAACCTGCCTACATACGCATAGCAGCACCACACAACAAACCAACTGACCAAATCCACCTACACACACTGCAGTACACGCACACACGCACATGTGCACAGGCAGCTAACACAGTATTACACAAGCTCATAAACACTTAAGCACACACATTTTGGTGCATGTCACGATTAATCCCTTTTAATTGCACATAATTATGTGTGCTATGAGTACAGCATACACATTCCACCCAATGGAATACAAACTATGCCAAGATGTCATATACCTTGGTGCATTATTATTAACTTGCCTTATCATAAGTTGTCACTTTAGATAGTTCTATAACTGACCTGTTACTGTTCTGTGACTGTTCTGTACTGTGGCTCGATATGGCATCCTCGCCCGGAGCTGTGGTCCCTACATGCATGGGCCACCAACGGGTACCCGCTAACCTCCCGGAGGGAGTGTTAAACACGATCACGCAGGCTAGAGACACAACACAGAACCCCATCCACGCTCAAAGTTTAAAGGGTTAGTTCGGTATTTTACACTTAAAGCCCTGTTTTAAGATTGTTTCTGAAGAAATAGAACGGCTGCCATCGTCCCCATTGGATCTGACGTAACCAAGGGCCTCTCTCGATAGGCTGCTGCTGTTGCCGTACGACAGCCAATAGGCACGCGAGCCATCTTGCCTATATCTGCATGCTGCCGCAACGCGTTTTACATTAAGCCAAAATTAAAGATAATTTTTGGCTTCAATATCTCGTGGAAAAGAGGTTTTCCCCTAGCGTACGATATTACACAGTACGAGAGAAACTCTTCTAGAGAGAACCGAGGTTATGTTAGTAACAGAGTACGTTGTCTAGCTCAGAGCAACAGCTTTAACTCTAACAACTCGGAAGTAGGCTATAGATAGGCTGAAGTAGGCCACTGTTCCATATGCATTTAAAACTTTGGGGTCTGTATTTTTTATTTATTATTATTCAGCAAGGTTGCATTATAATTGACAAAAGTGACAATAAATACATTTGTAATGTTACAAAAGATTTCTAATTCACATAACATAAATGCTGTTCTCAAAAAATCCAGAAAAACATTATCACAGTTTCCATAAAAATATTAGGCAGCAAAACTGTTTTCAACATTGATAGCATTAAATCAGCATATTAGAATGATTTCTGAAGAATCATGTGACACTGAAGCCTGGAGAAATGATGCTGTAAACTGAGTTTTGCATTCACAGACATACATATATTATTATATATATATTTTAAAACTGATAACCGTCATTTTAAATTGTAATAATATTTTAAAATATTACTGTTTTCACCATTGATCAAATAAACACAGCCTTGGAGAGCATAAGAGACTTCTTTCAAAAACATTAGAAAAATACAGACCCAAACTTTTGAATGCTAGTGTAAGTATTTTCCATTTATTCTTTTCTTCATCCTCCCTCTCTCTCTCCCTTTGTAATTCTCATGTTTCTCTTTCACTCTTTCTTGCCCAAACAGCCAAGGTCAACCATCTCCCAGAGCTGGATGAAGAGATAGACATTCTGTCCTCCATCATCAGCAGACACAGAGAATCAGAGATGAAGCACTTAGGTAAGACATGTGGATCCTGCTATTCAGGGGGGATCAGTGGGATAGTTCACCCAAAAATTATGTTACCATTTACTCACCCTCATGTCATTACAAACCTGTACGACTTACTTTCTTCTGTGAAACATAAAAGGACATTTTTGCCCTTTTCCCCACAAAAATCGATTGTAAGGCTTCAAAAGACAATATTTATATGCATGTCTGGATGTATGTTCTTTATTTTTCTCTATTTTGGAGCTTGACAGCTGCAGTCACTTTTGTATGGGAAAAAAGGTACATAAAATGTCACATTTTGTGTCTCACAGAAAAACAATATCATGTTGTTTACAACAAAATTACGGTCAGATTTTTTTGGTAAATTTTCCCTTTAAAAGAGTGCTGCCATAATTAGGCAACCACCTATCTAAATTTTAGGTCTTTCTTATGGATTCTTATTTGTTTCACAGAATAATAAAAAAAATAAGTTACTTTTAATCTTGCAATTTTTTTTATATATCAAAAAGTCTGAATCGCAAAATAAAATGTTGTGATTAGTAATTACCTTTTTTATTTTTTTATTCTGTAAACAAGGCTTCCATACTTTCTTTAACATTTTCCTTATGTTATTCAGCCCCCTCTTCAGCGGCTCCCATAGTCCCTGAAGATTCCTGGCCAAGTAGTCAGCACAGAGCAGAAGCAACTTCTACCGCTGCTACATCAGAACAGCCTCTGACAAGTGTCCTGACCACTGCCTCCTCTACCACCAGCCCACCCTCACACACTCCTGTGCACAGCGCCCCCTTTATCATCCCGTACCCCTCCGAGGACCACTCCTTCATCAGTGAGTTATCAGTGAGTTTGTTGATGTTGAAAGATATAAGAGTGGACCTTCCTTTTCATGACATCCTCCTTTTTGTTTTGTTTTTCTCCTTTAGTATTTTTGAGTGTGTTTCTCATGGTGGGCTCAGTGGCTATGGTCTTGACTGGAGTGTGTTGGGTCAGGTGAGATTTTGCAGTATTTACGTGCCAGTCTGACTTATATTTTTGACTTACTCAGCTTAAAAAAACCTGTAAGAGAAAGATTGTACAACTCTTATGTACATTGGCCTATAAACTACTGTTCAAAAGTTGTTGTTGTCTTTTTTTAAAGAAATTGATACTTTTATTCAGCAAGGATGCGAAACAATTGATCTGAAATGACAGTAAAGACATTTATAATGTCAATGAAGTTTTCTATTCCCAATGGGCTATATGCACGCATAAGTTCCGCATTTGACATAAGGATGCTCGTCCATTTCCGGTTGTGGAGATTAAAGCGGAGGAAAACCGAGGAAAACGGGATTATGGCAGAATCTTCAAAATGTACTGTCCTCCCGTCTTTGAAACGAAACGTACATACGTTTAGATGTAATTTTATGTATAGTTATGTGCATTTAATATAATTTTAAAAAGAAGCATAAACACAACGAGGGGTGTCTGTTTTATCTGTTTTTGTGACTAATGTTTCTTTAGTATAACCATGGAGTATAAAATTCAATATAAATTCTCTGTATTGCATTGGACTCTACGATCGGCGGAAGTTATCGAGCATCCTTACACCCTCACCGGAAATACCGCCGTGCATAGAGCCCATAAATGCTCTTTTCACAATGTTTGACATATCCTCAAAATAAGCTGCTTGACTGTTTTCAACTTTGATAAATAAGAAGAAATGTTTCTTGAGCTCTAAATCAGCATATTAAAATTATTTAAAAAGGATCACGTGACATTGAAGACTGGGGTTGAAAAAAGAAAAATGCTGCTTTGCCATCAGAAGAATAAATTGCATTTTAAAAAAATATATTAAAATAGAAAACAGTTAAGTGTGTGAATATCAAACAGTGTACAGTATTTTTAACGACACAAAATGACCCCAAGCTTTTGAATGGTCAATTTGATGAACTCAAAAATCTAAAAAAAAAAAACACAAGGACTAAAAGCTATAAAATCGTAACTTAGATATTATGAGGTCTTTAAAGACCTTTCAAAACCTTGTTGGATGAACAAGTAGAGTTGAATGATACTGACGCTGTCATTTTTCTTCTCAGGATGCAGAGAGGCAATCGTCTGGCCCAGAAGGTCGACTATCCTGCTTTTGGGTTGATAGGTCCAAATTCTTATGATAGTGGCACGGTGAGTAGACCATGTACACATGCAAAAACAAAGTGACATCCAGGCATGTGTCTTATTGTTTTCATGTTCACACGCTCTTCTATTATTCTAATATTAGACTGGAGATAAAATACTTGCCCAGAGTGCCCAGATGTACCACTTTCAGCTTCAGAAGCAGCAAATGATGTCACTCAAGTGAGTATAGTCAGCAAACAGCATTAATGAACTTCTGTATCTCATTAACTGCCTTTCATGGATGCAACATTTCCCACCAATACTCAGCCTGCCTGTTTTAGAGAATGATAATAAAGTTATTTAGAAATGTTACATTAATACATATAAGATATAAGACATTCTGAATGATCATGTGACACTGAAGACTGGAGTAATGCCTGCTGAAAATAAAATAAAAATAATTGAAAATTTTAAAAATATTTCAAATAGAAATTGTTATTTTAAAATAGTAATAATATTTCACAATGTTGGCGTTTTAACTATTTATGAACAACAATTGCAGCCTTGATGAGCATAAGAGACTTCTTTCAAAAATCTAAAAAAATATTAACATCCCAACATTTTTGAATGGTAGGACAGTATATGTTCTTCATCTACATCTACAGTATTTCTTATACCACAATCATTTAACACATGTAGGCTTATAAATCATTGTAATATTAGAAATCATACACTTTCTTTTAAAGAAGTGAAATAGAAAATGCAATTTAAAGGTCCCATGACATGGGGTTATTTTATTATTTTATAATGTTTCCTGGGTTGCCCTTTTAATGTTAGTATGTTTTTAGATCAAAAATAGCCATAATTTAGAAATAAAGGCATTTTGATTTTTGGCCTCTGATTTGAACGCTCTGTTTGAGGGGGCGTGTCTGCTTTGGGATTCAGTGTAACCACCCACTCCTGTGATAGGCTGACATGCTTGCATATGAAATAGCTACTTATTACATGTGAAACTCTCGAATTCTTTTACTTCAGCTATTATACGTTTTTATTATTACAGCTATCGAGATTAACTAATTGTGAGAAATTTGTCAAGTATATTTAGATCTATTCCCATCACAGAGTGTTGCAGTGATGAGCATTGAGCAAACACGATGATGATGCACATACAGTAAGAGCTTTGTTGTGCAGTGTAACGTGAATCATTGATCTCATAATGAGTTGTCCAGATAAACTCGCGCTGTGTGTGTAAAGATTGTTCTTTGATCGCTTTCTGTATATAATTTGTTCACAATTTACATTAAATTATTTTCATCCTACTAAAAGAAATGATGTGAAGTTGATATCTTAGTCACTGGCTTGACTTATTGAACGTATTGAACGATTTTGAGAGAAAGATTACCTGTCTACACATCATAAATTGTTGCTTGGTAGCTCGTTCATGAACGAGTCATTGGTGAAATGACAGTCGTTGGTGAAATGTTTGGACCATACAAAACTTTGGGAAGTTGTGTCGGCACATTTCCAGAGAAAATAAAATGAAACCATTGTTTCTTCAGAGGCTCAGATGAAGGAACTAAAAAATACTTTTGTGTTCATTTGTACATCCAAACACTGATCAACGTCCATGCTTCGCTCGTTTGCAAGCCCTGATATCTCTCAAAGAAAAACTCAAATCTGCGGGGGATTCGTACTTCCTAGCTCATTTTCTCATGGGCGAGCCAAATTCTCTGGGCGGGCAAAGCAGAGAACTGGGAGGTTACAGGGAGGTTAACGGGGATGTCATAAGGAGGAGATTCACGATCAGCACGTCTGAGTTTTCATCTTCTCAAAATGTCTAGCCACTGGGGGACCACAGGCTTGGGAAACTCATATTAATTTAAAAAAACCTCAGAAAGTGAAAATTTCATGTCACGGGACCTTTAACAAATAGTAAAGAAACATGTATGAGCACTGATTATAATAATTAAAAAATATATATTTTGTTTGTTATTTTATGTGTAATTTTTTTTTAAAATAGGTAGGACTGAATAGGTGAAATAAAATATTATTTACAATATTATTCACAACTTAGTGGCATGGCTTCTGTGTGTTGTTATCCTCATGCAGACAACGGAGTGATTCCAAGATTCCAGAGTCGGGAGCCACTTCGGATGAGGAAAATGAAGATGGAGACTTCACTGTGTATGAGTGCCCTGGACTTGCCCCAGTAAGAGAGCAATACTTAATTATTCTTAATGTGTTACTGATTGCATCTATAGCGCCTTTCAACCTTCAGGAACGGTTCCATTTGTATTTCTTGATGCACAACTCAGGGTTGGTTACTTAACTGTTGCCTGGCTACCAGTTTCTCTGTAGCTGAATGAATGATAAAACTAAAAGAAATATCTGATCATTTTCCATAACAGTTGCTATTGACATTTTATATTGTCTGTAAACACACAAAATTAAACTCGACACAAAATCACATTTTGACGGCCGGGCCCCGTCGGCACGGAATGGAACGGAGTAGGCAGAGTAGGTTAGTTCTTCACTAACACTATCATAAATCATGCCTCCTGCAGATGTAATAGATGGTATTATGATCATGTCACCCACAGTGCTGCAGTATGAGATCTCCCATAGTGACGTGGCGTTTCTTTTTCTTTCCAGACCGGGGAAATGGAAGTGAAGAATCCACTGTTCGATGACTCCACCTTTCATCTTCACCTGCAGAAGAGTTACAACTAAACGCGAGAACTCAGAGCACAAACACGCATGAATTCACAATTGTGTGCTTTCCTCATCTGATCCATTCCGGCAAGGTCATTTGCTCTTGCATCGTGGTTCGTATGGACATTTGAGTGGAGTTTTTTTGTGTGTGTGTGTGTGTGTGTGTGTGTGCCTCTATCCGTGAGCGAGCTGAAACAGAATGCAACACTATCAGAAATAATTTGCTTTGTTAAATTGATTCACACGTACACAAGCATCCTTTCTAACGACCAGCCCCTTCGGACCAGGACACTGCGCTCTAGTACCTTTCAGTGTAATGGCAGATGTGTAAAACATTGCATGGGATTTCTGACAAAGAGTTGCACCCATCCTATATAATCATGCACTTTTCATGTCTCTTTCCTTAAGACTTCTAGACCTGCTGTTTGATAGTAATGTCCGCTATAAATACGAGGGACTGTGCGTCTTCTGTGCTCTCAAAAAGCTTGAACGTGTTCTTGATACCAGCTCAAGACTCATTTAATATCAGGTCATTGCTGAGTTCTGTTATGACGTCTTCTGTAGTATATTGTGAATACTGTGCAATTGAAAGGAATCTTGTTGATAGAATTACTTGTTTGAACATATCTTGCCTGCAAAAACACTAGTCATATTTAGAATGGACGTGGAAGATGAAGCCCATTGAGCAACGTTAATTATACAGTTAGCATATTTTATGTTTTCTTCTACCAAATTTGTCTGTGACTGTATTTTTTAAAATACCAATGGTGATTTTACTATTTTTTTATAATTGTGCTCACAAGTTTAACCCTAAATGATATTATGTAGCCTCTGTATAATCAGAATGGTCCTACTATGCATGATTTGAAGCTGTATAATAGTAAAGGAAGTCAGTGTGCATTTCTGGTTCATTTATGGAACAAAAACACATATGAAATTGGATTTTTTTAAATCAAACCCAGCCAAAAATTGATTTGATTTGCAGCGTAACACACTGTATATAGCTGCTATTGTGTACAGGCAAGGATTCTCTGATCTAAATCACTAACGGTGACGTGATATAGTTTGATTCTAGAGCGTGTCGCTCGCTGTTGTTTCTCAGGAAACCTGCCAACAGTAGCCAGTCTCTGTACAGAATTTTCTGTAATTTCTGCAGGGGATCCCTTCAGGTTCCTCTAGATCTTGTACCTAGCCAAAAACTGCGGCAGTGTCATCAGTCTATCAATGTTGCATTGAAGTAAAGCGAAGCCACTTGAAATTAGAAATGCTTTAGGTCTAGTGCCTGCTCTAACAACTGTCTGTTCTATTAGACAGTCATTGTGGGGATGCTTGGAACTTTGAAATGACCTACAATAAAAAAATAAAAAATAAAAACATTGATCCACTGAAACTTTTTCAGCTACTGAGATGCCTGACATGCATGTAAAGATGGAATATATAAAGAGGAAATAAATATTTATATCAGCTCAAATAGTGTCCCGTCTTCACTGATATCAAACCTACCAGATGTTTTGTGTACATGTAAAAACATGTTGCAACATAAAATGAGATTCTTTTGTATGCCTTTTTCAAAGGGTTTTTCAGTATAAGGCAATTCAACCTGTATACAGTATTTAAATATTAGACAGTTATATGCTAACAAAGTTTTTAAGGGATACTCCACTTTTTTTGAAAATTACCACTCCCCCAGAGTTAAACAGTTGGGTTTTACCGTTTTCGAATGTACAGCCATTTTTTGATATATATATCTAGAAGAATATCAGTAACCAGACAGTTTCTGGTCTCATTGACTTCCATAGTATATTTTTCCTACTATGGAAGTCAATGAGACCAGAAACTGTCTGGTTACCGATAGTCTTCTAAATATCGGAAAAGCGGCTGAATGGATTTGAAAATGGTAAAACTCAACTGTTTAACTCTGGGAGAGTGGTAAAATGAGCCTATTTCCAAAAAAAAAGTGGAGTATCCCTTTAAGCAATAGCTGTACTATTAAAATCGTCGGTACATCATTTGTGCAAACTCCAGAAGGTCAGCAAAACAAATTGATAAATAATGGCCATCTAATGACATTGCTTTTCCACTGGGTTGAACATTTTTTCCATGAAAAGGATTTTCATTTTACCGGGTCGACAATAAAGATAATGAATGGACGATCAAATCTGTAAACTGGTTGTTGACTGTAGGAGAAATCTATTCCAAAGTCTAGCCTTTCTCATTCCTTCCTCATCTACATCAAAAGCAGCTTGATGTTTAATCTGAAAGTAAATCACATTGCAAAAGGATTTCAAATAAAAGTGAATGTATATAAAAATAGGCTCTATGAATTTCACATTAAATATACAATTTCACTTTTTTCAACTGCAACTTTCACCTGCTCCATCTTCTCAAAGAACTTGGGAAGTGGTTTTGATTTGTCGCTTACATAGTTATCCATGTCCACCCTTCTTTGGCTGATTTCTTCCAAGAAACCTTTTGAAGGTCTTTTGCACTTCTTCAGTGTTGAAGATTGAGCTGTCATGGCCCAAGCTCCCGAGAAGCTGCAGTTCAAATTAAAGTTTTCAAATTGTAGCAAATTTTTATGAGATTTGTTATATTGAAAATACATGACAGTTATATGAGAACAAAATGAGAAGGCATGCATACTTGCTTACATGCTTACGAGGGTTACACACCGAGACGTTCCTTTATAATTAATCTTCTGAAAACAGAAATATTCCACCTCTGAAGAACTATAAAGCCTAAGTTTGGTTAGCTGTTTACTTTTTATTTTACTCTGCAAATTAAACTATTGTTAAATCTTAAGAATATACTCAAATCAGTGCAATAATAAAGTTTTCCAGTATCAGTGGTTACCACATTGGGTGACAGCTGATATGTAATTGATATAGGCCTACAGTATTCGCCATCATTTTCAAACTGATTCCATTTTTATATATATATATATATATATATTTACACATTATATAGTACAGTCCATTTTAATATTAATTTGAAATGTGTAGTTTACCAACAAATATACTCAGCTATTTGTAATTGTAATTTTTTTAAATTGCACAATTAGTGACCCCCAACCCCTGCATGACTTGTTTTATGCAAGCAGACTAAAAACCAAAACAAGGGTGTATGTCAACAACTGAGCAATAGAGATGCAGGGGATATTGATCCATTTAATGTCGAAATACACACAAGTTACTTCATAGGTTGGGTAAAGAGAAGGGAAAGCATTGTCAGCAAATCCTTCTATTGAAAAGATAAGGCAGTTACTCATATTGTTTGACACATGCATTTTGGAGCAAAATGTGTTTGTTTGTTTGTTTGTTTTGCTTTGCAAGAGTTTCTGTGTCACATACGTTCTCTTCAATAGATCCTGAGTAAAACTTTCTGACTCAAATCTGATCAGTGGCGTGATTCGTTGATATTCGGTTGTTAAGTCGTGACGTAATCACACTCTGATAATACTGTTTCCGGGTCCAAATGCTGGGTCCTCTCTATCTGCTTACCGCTTTTGCCCGAGTTTTAACATGCCGCAGTGCTGTGTCCCATGTTGTTTAAATAGATCGGAGTTAAAAAAAAAACAAGTGACATTCAACTGTCATTCTACCGCTTTCCCTGTGACGAGAAAGAAAAGAGAAAATGGCTGCAGTTGATAAGGTTAAGTTACAATTCTTTCCTTTATCCCTAACACCCACTGGCGCTGAAGCGAAGCCAGTCCTTTAAGAAAAGGGCTTACTTAACTCTAACGTTATGGGTTGTAACGTTAAGATGGACGAGCGCGGAGCGCTTGGACCCGGAAGAGGCTAAACGTCACGCGTGACGTCAGACTTGCGCCTCCTCCTCAGTTGATTCCGTCGTCACCTGGTCACCTGACACTCGTTTGAATCTATGTTCGGAGATTCACCAGAAACACACCAGTACGCAAGGCCATGTTTGGTGCAGTTTAAATAGAGGTAAGAAATGGTTTTAAATCTCTTATACTGCCGCCGAGCATTTTAGCTTTATTTATTTCTGTATTCTGTTGGTTATCGTAGTCCTGTGGCTAGCATTGGACAGCACATCACTAAATAATATGTATAGTGATTAAATATGACTTTAGTTACATTTTTATTTTTCAGATCATTTCTGAAAAAATAAAACATTTAACTAATGTCATTATTAGGCTATTCTCACATATTCACATCCCCGTTCTCAGTGGCGTTTTCTACCGGAAGCCAACCAATCTCGTCCGACAATCACTATTATCGTAAATAAAACATTTTATTTGACTCACAGTGATGTTTGTGTCTTGGCCTCTCATTTTACGTGAGTGATTATTGATGAGTTGGGCATCAATGGACATATAGGCACAAGCTGAGTTTCGGCGCCCTCAAAGTTCACGTGCAATGCAAGTTATTGTGCCAGCGCCTTATTAGATTCTAATCTTTACAGCAACAGTGTGGTGTATGAAAGTAATGCAAGGCTGTATCGTCAGCTGTTTATTTTTATACTTAACATTTTTCAACATCTTTTACCAATTTAGGATTACATGACTGTTGCCACTTGGCAGATAAGTATACATTGACCAGAGGAAACAGATCTAGCAATGCGTACCTGTAATTTATTTTTAAACAACTTAATCCAAACTTAAGCTGGTTCAGGTGTTTGATACACATTGGAAGGATTGAGTACCTCTATATATCAACATAGAGTCAGCAAAATAATGGCACAACAGTTGATCATGTCCACCAGCTGGCAAATATTGTTATGACTGGAAGCAACATCACTATTTTTCCACTGGGTTGACAACTTTTGCAAAAAAGAGGATGTTGTCATTTTTTTTGTCAGTGATGAAAATCATGAAAGGACGATCAAACCTCAAAGTCTTCAGTGGGCTGTAAGACATTGGTCTAAATGAAACTGTTGTCACTGCTGCAGCGGTGGTTCCCTCCTCATCCATATCCAGAGTGGCTTTATGCAAAGCCTGAAAGTAATTTAAAGTGAGCTATCTTTAAAAATTGCTCCTTTTTTAATAGTCACTATATAAACAATCTCCTCTGTTCATTTTAAATCATAATTTAGAAAGTGATTTCAGACATTACCTTTGAAATGAAGATCCTTTCCTCTGAAATTCCTGTAAAGTTGGCTTTATCTGTAAACATATCAGCCATTCCCATGCCTTTCAAAATGTCATTCAGGGAATATGATGTTTTCAGAGACAGCTTGGGGACATAGATGTCAACTTTTCTGAAGGACAAAAAAAAAAAAAAAATCATAAAAGATTGCCCGGTCCATGGGGAGAGATTGAATTTGAAAACATTTGACCATCTAAAAGCTTTTATAAATCATTTAGGATAACCTTAATTATGATTTACAGTACAAACAACCTTTTCTGGACAGCTGTTCTTCACTTTTCAATGTGTTTTCTAGAGATAGCCATCTCGAGATCTTTGATGGTCTTGTTTCTTTTGGCACTATCTGGGACAGCCAGAAACATGGAGTAAGAGTTGTTGTAGTCAAGACAGAGGACCTTAGAATTGAGTTCGGCATCATAGTAAACTCCGAGGGATTCGTATTGGTGCATCATTTGTACTGGAACGGTGGTCTCAGCATCCACATGAAACATAGCCTCGCGGGTCTTGCTTGGGTTAAATGGTTTGTCCCATTTTCCTTGGGAAGAAAGATAGTAATTATTTAAAAGGATCCGAGACAATGACATTACCAGAACTACAACAGTATGACTATTTTATTTGTGTGTGTGCTTACCCTTAAAATATATGTAGTTGAGAAGAAACATTAACGTATCAGTGTCTAGATTATCAACAGCTTGTTTAATTTTCCCATGTGTTTTGTCCTTCACATACATGTTAATTTTATCTAATGTTTCTTTGACGCTGAAATCCACAGTAAAGCCTTCAGATTGGTAAAACTCCTTCATCTTCTCCAAAAACCCAGGAAGGACCTTAAAACTTATTGCCTATGTAAAGTGCACTGCCGACATCAATGTCCACTCCTGTCCTCTGGTCGATTTCTTCCAGGAGTCTGTGGAACATCTGGTGCATTTCTTCAGTGCTGAAGACCGAGCTATTATGACCAATGCCACTAAGAAGCTGCTGTTTGGTCTCACCACCGGCTCCTAAAGACAGTTCAGAAAGGACCATGGACACTAAATGGAGAGAAGATGATATTCTTGGACTGATACTCTGGCATTTCTACAAGCCTCTTGTACAGGTGAAAAGCAAAATCATTGTTCAGCTTTATCAACAATGGGAGTTTATCACTTGCAGTTGGCTGAGGTAAAGTCTCTTGTTGTCCAAGGACAACTGGGTGAACAATTGCAAAAGCACAAATCCACAAATATACAATGTTCCTTTCCATGATTCCTTTTCAAGTTGAGCCAATAGATCAATTTACGTCCTGAGGAAACATAACAGTTTTACAACATTATGGAAACAGAGATGCAGCAAATACCCTAATTATATAATTAATAATGTGAACACAAATTTCCCAAATCTCACCTGTCCGTGCTGTCGCCGTATCTTTCCCCAAACTGGCTACTGTTTGTCATTAAGTAGCATGATCAGAATACCAACCTTTACTCTGTTTACCTTTTTTGTGTTTGTTGAAAATACTCCAACTACAACGAGTAAACAGTAGAGTCAACTGAAGCTTTATTAACTCATGATAGAGTATTTAACCACATGAAGTAGACCATACGACAGTGGTCCCAATGAAGCAACTGCTACTCTTTTTAATTTGTAGTAAATCAAGCGTAGCATCAGTTCTGGCAGGTCACGTTAGTCAAACTCACATCAGCTGACCTATAGGAATATGACGTCCATCACTGTATATGATTATCAGCAGCTATTGCGTTTCTCAGGCGCTAGTTACCCTCCTCCATCCAATTGAAATTGTATACTAATTGTCAATCGTATTTGATGATAGTGGTCCTGACACTTTAATGTGATGACATCAAATAAGACAATCACTTTCCATTCATCTAACCAGTGTTGGATGTAATGCATTACTAAGTAATTAAAATACTGTAATTTAATTACAGTGACTTCTGATGTAAAAACTGTACAGACTAAAGCAAAATTCTATATAAAAAAAATCAATAGTGGGTTTAACATCAAAATGTAACATCTAATGTTAAAATGCGTTTCTAATGTAAGCTTCAGTTGAAGAATAATTTTTGTAATGGTATATTATTTATTTGAAGGAATGAAAAGAGCAGTTTCATGTTTATTCTTCTATTGTTCAACTGGTCGTGGTAGATATGGGATTTAAAAAGTAAATAGTAATAAGTCATGCGATACTTTTTTAGAGTGCAATTAGTATAGAGGGAATGCATTTGACACGTGACTTTCCCGCGTGACAACCCCCCTCAGCCTGACCGAGTGGCAAAAGATCTGCTGCGTGACTGGATTTAATAGGGGAAAACTGCGGAAATGCGACTAAATCGAACAATTTTATCAATTTAAACTAAATGTTGGACTCAATATAGTGTTCCTTACAACTTACTAAAGATCCAGCGATCCATGGATATTGACATGCAGCCGGGAATCGTGTTGCCTGACATTTATGTTTGCCTGATTTCGACACCGGGGAAATCAACCAAAACCTAAACGTAAAGCAAATTTGCCTGTGAACGCTTTAAATAAATACATATAATATAGGTAGGTCTAAATTCGGGTGATCACTTATATCAGTGTTAGCCAATCATCATATCGTCCAGCCCTAAAACTTTTTCTAATAAAAAAAAACTTTTTTTATTAAAAAACATCCAATAAAGCAGAATATGCAATGATAAATATTTAATTGATGAGCTGATAATGTATATAACAATACAAAATATATGGGTATGGTTTTCCAGCTAAATTCAGCATATTGACACAAAATGATAACTGCAAATCCACCTTTGGCTGACTGGAGTCCAGTTGTTTCTGTGAATTGCAGCGATCCATTTGCTCCTCTTTCCATAGCAGTCTGTACAAATATTCCCTCTATTATTCTTAAAATTACACGGTTGAAGATGTAATTAGAAGCTTCCCCAACACTGCTTCACAGTTCTTATATGTAATGTATCTCATGTGTTTAATAAGTGCTCACAACCCCTGTACGGTTTGAAGCAGCAGAGTTACAGAGGGCATATCAAAAACAAGTGATAAAGATGAGCACATATTAATCTTCTGACTGTTGAAATGCCCACATATCACTAGAAGACAAAAAGAACCAAAGGGACAACCATCCCACCTTCAGTCACAGCAAGACCTTTTTATTGAAAAATGTTACATGACCAAAGATAAACAATCATGATAACACAATCAACTATTCCACCATACAGGCAGTCTTACAATAGCTCTCAAATATCCACAAATTCAAAGTTTATGAATTGTTGTTGCTGCACTAGGAGACGCTTTTGAATGTACATTGTAAAATTATTATCTGGCCCTGACTCCACCCATTCAAAAAACATGGATGTGCAATCAAGCACTCAAGATGCATAAATACAGCTTCCTCCCCAAACAGGTTGTTTAGCTAGCTAGTTCTACATATGGCTGGGCTATAACGTTAGAACAGCTACAATTCTCAAGCGCATATCATCAGTAAAGAGTTCCCTGATTAGTAGTAAATACTACTAGTCAATCGGCTTCTCACCTGTCGGTCAAGCAGAAAAAATGCCACAGCCGCATCTGTTGGTAGTAGAACGGGACACGTGCACGAGGGGGGTGGAGGGAGGGGGGCATGGTAAGACCGTTTGATTGACGCATTTTCTGTCCAATGATTCTAGATGGTTCTTGAGAAAGATTGGCTGGAGTCCTGCCCGTTCCACAGATGATTAAATTGCTTCATTTTCATTTCAGTGCTTCTAATTTACAGCCAGTGAGTGGGTTACGAATAGGATTGAGTGATTTTGAAAAAATGGTCAAAAAAGAAAATCACATACCCCACCTTTAATGCAGTCCGTATAATTATTTTACAGCATTTATTAATCATTGTTATCTTAATTCCTAAATATTTTATTGGTCATTGCTGAATTATCAGTTCACGATGCATTATGAACTAACAGTATAAACATACACACATTTTTATATTTAAAAAATACATAGAAATTAATATTAACCAGGATTAATAAACGCAGTATTGTCCACTGTTCACAATTGCATTAACTAAAGTATACAACATTAAAGTAAAGTGTTATGCCAGTTTCTATATTTGTACTATAACTTGTGTGTAGTTTTAAATAAAATACACATTTCTCTGTCGTCTTTGAAACAAAGAAAATACAACGATGCTTAAAACAAACAATACAATAAAAAAATACAATACAGAGATTTTAAAAAATAGTGCAATCAAAGAAAGACATTTACAAGCCAAAGAATTTATAAATTCACCTGGGAGTGTAAATGTTTTGCAGACACAAACAAAACAGCCAATAAAACAGAAATAACAGGCCACTGCTTTGAGTCACAGAGACTAAGATGTTTTTCTACTCCTCTTCTTTTTCAACATTATGCTTTTTAGGCACCTGAAGATAAAAATGTCATTTATAACAGGTCAAATACCATTTGTAGAATCAAATATCTGATGACATCATCTAATGTGTCCTGCATGCAGGTCTTTTCAAAAATAAAATTCACGTTCCTGTAACAATTTACATGTGTACCTTTGGTGCTTCCGTGTTTTTCTCACTCGTTCGACCTTCCAGTCTTCCTCTGTGTGGAGATCTGTCATGGGAAATATACAAGCATTTTAGGTTCAATGTAACAAAACACAAACAAACAAAAATCTCATGTGTGTGCATATACATAGCAATTATTTCTGTAAAATATTTAAGCATACCCCAAAGCAGTTGTAGAACGGGGCTTGAGGCTGTCGTTGAGATACGTGTTTGCTTCTCCAGCTTTGAGCCTTTGGTTCCTGCTCTTCGCCTGCTGTTCAACATTTGTGTTCTTAGAGTAACTGTAAGCTGAGGGCGGCCATTGGTCCAAACCTGAGGAGCTTCTCTGTCGCCCCTGAGCTGTCTGTTGCAGGAGCTCCTCACCTGGCTCAGCTGCAGCAAGACATAAAGGGATGAATGAATACATATTGTTTTCAAGCACGTTTAAATGAGTAGATTAAAAAATCTATAATGGTGGGTCACCTTGATGTCTCACCCTCCTCTGCTTCTCAGGAGATCTTCTGTCCGGGGTCTCTTTGACATTCTGGGTTGGTTTTCGTGGAGAAACTCCATTGACTAAAAAAGCTGTCTGGGGGCGGAAGTCACACTTGTCCTGTACAGTATAATAAAATTGAACAGTATCAACAAAAGGTTTAACAAAATTGTAGGCTCCATTTCTGCTCTGCAAGACGTACTTGTAGAAACAAATAACGATTGATGCAATACTAAACTGAAATTGTGTGTATGCACAAATGTATTCCAATTTACAGTTGCAAGCCAAATCTACAAATTTGTATAAAATGCACATCTAAAGGGTTTTTGCTTTGCATGAGCTGTGAAGTTAAAGCTGTGCTATGCAATATAAGAAGATTCCCATTCAAATAGAAATTGAATTAAATAATATGGAATTGCATTATTTTTTTTATGTAGGTATCTATCATGACATTTATGAACCTGCTGTCTTTACAAATAATGTAAATATGTTTTCTCAGACAGAATAACTATAGTACTTTTTATGCAAGTGTTCAATTTGGTGAGGACATTCATAATGAGAATGTTTAAATATGCAATAACTGACCTGAATTACAGGTATAAAACCTTTTTTCTTTCTAAAATAAATCCCAGAATGGGCAATTAAATTGTGATTTTGACAAAATATTATACAAAATCGCAGATTCTTTAAAAACCCTCCAATTTTTGTGTCCTGCTAAAATCGTTAAACTATATGTGCAACAAATATTTCCTACAATTATGCCATTTCTTTAAAGGCCTCTAAAGATTCTCCGTATACGTATTTATTTTAAAACGGCTTTTGCAACCTGCTTTGTGGAACGAAAGTGAATCAATCAAAACTAACTTTAGCTGGACAATAACTTTATTTTAGAGCTGCTGTAAAGCCAACACAATCTGTTACTTTAATTCCCTATCATCACTGTAAAGCTGCTTTGAAACAATCTTTATTGTTAAAAGCGCCATATAAATGAAGGTGACTTGATCACAAAGAAATAACAAAAACAACTAATTTCTTCTTATTTTTTAAATCATTTATATGAATGACTTGTTGCTGTTCAGCTTCTTTATCTCTATTTTATTTGTAAGGCCTGTTATGTTCTGGAAAAAAAAAAACAGGTTGTCATACCTGATGGTGAAAGAGCACATCCTCTTCCAAAGCAACGCCACAAAACTCACAAGGAATGAGCACTTCGCCCTCAACTGGGCTAGAGGAGGAACTGTAGGAGAGCGGAGAAACGGACAGGGGCAGGGTGGGCGGACTGGGCGTGCGGGGAGGAATGATATGACCAGCCCCTTGACTGATGTCATCTTCATATTGAAGAGAAGAAGCTTGTTTACTGAAGGAAGCGATAGCAGAGGCCGGGCTGCAGCCGGTCTAGAAGACAAAAACAGAATATTGACTTTGTGCTGGCCACTAAAGGCAAAAATCTAAAACAAGCAACTCAAAAAACACACCCCTCCTCTAAGGCCTCAGAAAGAACCCTGAATATGATCAGGGTTCGGCCTGTGGAAGAAGCTAGAGGGCTGAAATTCGAGGAGGTTCCCATGGAAACTAAACACCACATCGTGAGACAATAGAGACCTGACGAGAAGGAATTGAGTGGGAGATTCAACATCAGTGCTGACATTACAATAGCATGCCATGGAAAACATGGCTTATGTTGTACTCTGTTAGCGTACACATGTAAAGGCACACTCAAAAGAGCTGTCTCCAGAGAGGCTCCAAGCACCACTGTGGCTGATGCACATTCACACTTGCCAGCTCTATCAAGACACAACAGGCCTGGCTTAAATATCAAGCCAAGAGGGAGTGTAACGTGATGGGATGATTGAGGCCTGATCACTTACCTGGTGTAGGATGAGGTCTTCCTCTGGAAAGAGCTCTTCACAGAACTCGCAAGGCAGCATGATGTTTGAGGAAGGGCTGTGGGCTGGGGCCAGGTTGGTTTTAGGGGGAGCTGCAGTGCAGTTGTTGTTAGTGCTGGAGGAGAGCTGGGAAGTGAGATTGCTATGGGCTGGTGTCCTTCCCAGGTTACGGTCCCACACATCAGTCCACACGCCCTCCTGAAGGGGGTCCTCCAAGTCACCTTCACTCTGCAGGCTGAGGGCCAGCATGTAGTCCAGACTGGAGGACTCGTAGTCTGGCAGTTGTCCCAGAGTCCACAGCAGGCTGTTGTTGTTGTTCCCATGCAATTCTGCTTCCTGATCCAGCACTGAGGAAATGAGCAGAGTGAAAGGTTATTTTTCCCCCCCCCAGCATCCTGTTAATACCCGATGAAAACTCTCATCGTTTTACATGTTTGAAAGTCTATATGTTTATTGTAAGGTTGAACTGATATTACAATTCTGACTGATACAATAAGCCAGCTATATTTGTTATGGCCAATATACAAATATTCCACACCATTCCATTTTACATTTATGTAGTCCACTTGATTTTACCATCGCTCTACTGTTTGAGCTACAGGATTTTGTTTAAATTAATTGAAAATGCTCATTTTAAATGCTACAACTGAATTTAGGCATAACAACATAATGTACCATATATATATATATAAACATTTTTTTGCCAGTTATCAGTGTTATATAAGATTAACTTTAAAGGGATAGTTTAGCCAAAACTCTAAAATATTTAATTAATTACTCATTCGCTCTCGTCTCATGTTGTTCCAAACCCATAAGACTTTCGTTAATCTTTGGAACACAAATGAAGATCTTTTTGATAAAATCTCAGAGCTTTCTCCGAGAACCAATTAGGTTCATTCTCTTGTTACGCAGCACGTTTGAGCTTCCACAAGAACAGATGAGGTTTGTGCTCACGTGCCAAGCAGGTCTGCTTGAGCTTCTGTTTATGCCCACTGATCAATATTTAAATGTGAATAAAAGCCTAAATTAATCTGTCCATCACATTAAGCAATGGAGTAAATGCATAGTTGTGTAGCTGTCAATGGAGAGTACAGAAAGCTCTCAGATTTCATCAAAAAGTTCTTCTTTTGTGCTCTGAAGAAGAACGAAAGTCTTACGGGTTTTAAAAGACATGAGGGTAATTAATTAATGACATAATTTAATTTTTGGGGGGAAATAACCCTTTAATTGAACATAGCATCTTTACACCTCTGTTATGTCTGCTCTGGGCTAAAAATTCTGTATAAAGATGGACGCAATGCAGCATTAAATACTAATACATTCCTTCTCTGATCCACCTCACCCCCTAGAATAACAGAATAAACTGTTTAAATGGCTGTTTAAATGCATTTATGCCCCCTCAGAGCAGAATTACACAGTTTGTGTAAAAACATTTATTAACACTTAAAGGATAACTCCGGCGCAAAACCTTTGGTCTAATAAAACTTCGGTACCTGGTCAATAGTATGGACCCTCATTATGTTACTATGTTAGTGTGTGGCTATTTTGAGCCTTGTTAGTGTTCTCCTTTAAAGTCCTTTGCAGTGTAAATTTGGCATAAATGTTAAAATAAAGGAATAGAGCATGCACAAATAAATGTCTAATATTAACAGATTTGATCTATTAAAAATAGTCTATTATCTGCAGATAATACTTATGGCACCGATATATGCACCACTAGTTTATTGCACTGTAAAGTTTTGTACATACAAACATTTGTTTGTAAATAAGGTCAGGACTAAAACAGCCAGACTGATACGTACAATAAGCAAATTCACTGTTCCTCATTTCTCTGTTTCTCCTGGTTCCCCCGAAAAGTGTTCCTCTGGTGCTGTTATGCAGTCTGTCCTCTAAGGGTCGTGGTGGACCCCTACGGTCCACGGCCCCCGTGTTGTTATTATTGTGGCTCCTCTCCTGGGCCCTCAACAGGTTATGGATGGAGTGTGCCTCAAACCATGCTCCAGGAGACTGGGACCCTGCCCTACTGCTTTGCCTCTCCTGAGGGGGAGTCAGACTTCCGCACAGGGCTGGATGAACGTGTTGCTCTCTTAGCATAACGTTACACTTGCAGGCAGGGCAGGGCTCGGTGCGGGTCCCACAGTACTCCTCATGCTCTTTAGCCTGATAGGAAGCCAGCTCCAGATCACAGAACTGGCACGGGACCAGTCGATGACTGCATTCTGATCTCTGATAGGGGCAATAAGTTGTCAGATCTAAAGACGTCATCAATGAAAACAGCAATGTGCATCCACAACATTACCTGATGGGTCTCCAGGAATCTTTTCTCTATCTTTAATCCACATTTGCACTGTTCCTGTGAAAAGAGTGTTAGATTTAATACAACTTATATCTAGCAGCCTGGAAAGAAGGAAGAGGGTTAATTCATGCAATATACATAATGCTAAAACAAGGCTGTGATGACATACACTCTGAAATTATAATCATCTTTTGTTCTCTGTTCTACTAAATAAAAGCATTTCGAACAACAATCTCATGAAGGGATTATTGTTCCACTTTTGCACCAGTGCATGTCTTCAAAGAAGAGATTTGATTGCGAGGGGGAGGTGAGCACATCATTATTTTATTAAAATATTGATGTGCATCAATAAATAATTTATAATAAACACTGCAATATTCTAAACCAAAATAATATTGATCAAAGTACATTTTGATTTCATAATAACTCTAGTTCACCCAAAAAACAAAGAGTGTTTTTTTGGGGCCGGGCAAAGATTAATCGCGATTAATAGCATCCATAATAAAAGTTTGTGTTTACATAATATGTGTGTGTGTATGATTATATTGTATATATAAATACACACACATGCGTGTATATATTTAAGGAATTTTTGCATGTATATACTGTGTATGTATATATATATATTTATACATCATTTATAATAAATATAAATATTAATATTTGATATATTAATAACAATTTATTTCATGTACTGCTGTTTGGATCCCATTGACTTATTGTACAGACAAAAAGACAGTTTGAACATTCTTCAAGATATGTGGGTTTTTTGTTTTTTTTGTTTTAAATAAAAGGAGGCAATACAGGTTTGGATTAACATGAGGGTGAGTAAACTGAAAAAAAAAAGAAATCTAGTTTTTTTTAACCCATGTGAGTTTTGTCGACTGGATTTTTTTACTCATAAGTTACTCATAACGAGCACCAATTAATGATACATCATGGCTAGATCATACCTCAGCGTGGTCCATCTCTTTGTGCTGCACAAGCTCAGCATGCGGAAAAGGCTCCTGGCACACATCACAGAGAGCAATATTCCGGCGACAGTGAATCTCATGTGTTGTAAAATTGGCTTCTGGAATGTCATGCTTGCTAAAGACAGAGAACATATCATGGTTAGATGACACTGTATAGTTTCAATGGAGTGATCTATAAACCCCAATAATCACCACAGTGTCAACTCCCTGTACAAAATATCATAGCACGAGTTGCTTTATATGAAAGTGTTTTATCGTAATTCCTCAGAAGTCATAATAATCAGGAAGATAGAACACTGCAGTACAGTCATACAGTCAGAAGGATTGTTGGGAGTGACTGAACACACCTACAGTAAGTGAAAGGAAAAAGCTGACTAATAAAAAGAAACTACAAAACAATATGCTCTATTCAAAAGGAAAGGTTTTCCCCAAAATAAAAACTGGGTCTCATTTACTTCCAAACCTGTATGGCTGTCTTTCTTCCGCACAACACAGAAGATAATGATAGTCATAAGAACGACAGAAACAGTCACCATTCGCATTCATTTGAAACCGAAAGACGACTGAGACTGTCATTCCGCCTAACATCCTCTTTTGCGCTGTACGGGAAAAAGCAACAAGTAACTGACGGTAAAATTAAATTCTATTTATTGAACTTACCAATTACTGCAGAACTGGGTATTTTCCTCGGACATAGTCTATGTGAAGGAACAGAAAGCTCATTTAGTGCGTAACTTGACACGAAGATTGATTTACGCTACATCTTCGTTCAGTAAGTTAAACATTGAACAGTAAGGCGGTGTTATATTTCTCTATCCTTACCAATAGACAAGTAACTGCTAGAATTAGACATGTAACAGTTATACTAACATTAACGTTACTTGCCTTATCTTTCGCTGAAGCTTGTAAACTGCAGTTTGGATTTAGAAGTAATGTTAAAGTAATTGCTAGTACTAACGTTACTATTGTCGGTCCAAGAACGTGTATGTTTGATAGGAATTATTCAAGGATATGAAGACAGTCCACGGTGTTTTGTCCACACATCCGAATAGGCACAATGGTGTTTGAATAGCTGCTTTAACGTCTAGCTAGTTTATTATAACGTTACATGTCTGAGCTGCCATCTCGAAGAGTGCTGAATGCTGATCAGCTATAACGCTCACTACAGTACTGTAATGAGTCAGTAACGAGTCATTCAACTGACTAACTAAATCTACACAGAAACAAGCAATAAACCACTACTGGCTTGAGGTAGAAATGCGTCAACTACCGCAATAATCAGTTTAGCTTTCGTTTCTTAACACAGTATCAACAAGAGGCGGTATGGTATCCGTGAAAACAGCAACGCTCACTGACAGATGGTGACGGCGATATTATTATTACAATTTTCAAAATAAAAGACGGAAAAGCGCGTCAAAACTAATAACGATGAATAAGTAAACGGTGATAAATAAACAGTGAGGAAAGGTAGCGCTATAATTGTCTGTTCTATTTTTTTTATAAAAAGTGAAAAAACAAAAAGTATTGAAACCAGCAGAGACGTGTATTTTCATACGACACATTTTCTTTTGTGTTGACAAACCGTGTAGGCTAAAGTGGTAAAAATACTTTTATTCTGTCTTTTTAAGTACCTTGAAGTTTCCAGCTTCAGATAGAAGCCCCCTAGTGGACGCCATCATCCATGATCAGCTGGAAAGAGCACGACGCCTACCATTATTCATAAATATAATATAAATAATAACAATAAATTATGATTATACTTATAAATGCACACGGCAAGAACGCTGAATACATTTGATACAATGTTTTACGGCACTGCAGGAGATTTTATAATGTTCGTTGGACCATAATATGGTAGGAGGACATTTGTGATTTTAAAACGTAACAGCATGCATTGTTGTTCTGAAAAAAAAAAAAAAAAAAGAAAGATCCCAATAACATTAATGCACCATACAACTATAAAACTTTATCAAGACAATGGTTTTATTTTGTAAAGACTTGTGTACATGTAAACATTGAACCGTGTATATTTAGATGTTTTTAACAAATATCAAGTTAATCTGTTATGTGATCCAATGAAAAATAAGGTGTTTACAACCCCTTTCAGTGAAATGTGTAGAAAGATCCGTGTCTCTTCCCCGGAGCCTGGTCACATGCGCGCTCGGGAATAATGGCTGCACAGGAACCCTCACCACCATCTTCATTAGAAGGCAACAAACCTGGCTTCCCCAAGAAAATACTCGCCAACAAGCTGGAGGACAAGCATCTGTGCAATATCTGTCTGAAAATCCTTAGGAGACCGTTTCAGGCGCAGTGCGGACACCGTTTCTGTTCATATTGTTTTACTAAAGCAGTGAGGTAAGCGTCATAATTCAGTCCAGATGGCCCAACTGACACGACACTACAAAAGATGAACACGACCTGTCAGGCCTCCCGGGCCATTTTTATGGTATATTTTATGTGTATACAAACAGTAAACGTTGCTTCATATCGAGGAACATAAATAAATGTAGGCTGTCAGGTTGTGTTCGGCTTCTTGTTTCGCTGGGCGAGCTGTAAACTACAATAGACAGACTGTTGCAGCTATTGTCTAAATCAACTCCTATTATATATGGTGTGCTTTTGTATTTATCAGCGATTTCTTTGCCAAACATCCATCCATATGAAACATTTTATTTTCCATATGAAACATTTTATTTTTCATCGCAGCTCCGGGCCACAGAAATGCAGTGCTTGTATAAAAGAAGATATATTTGAAGAACCAACATCAATTTTGAAACAGGGTTGTGTAAGTATTTGCTTTACTACTCTGAAAAATTGAAAAATTAATGCTATATATTAATGGTGCTTATTATTCCAAATATAAACTATACATTATACAATTTTAATTAAAAGTACCATAGTCATCGTAGTTTCCACCAAAATGCCACAGCTGCTAAATTATTGTTACTACTATAAAACCACAATAAATCATGTCATTTGGTATAAATCTGACTACTTTGTACTTCGTGGTGGCTAATAAAGAGTTGTTTGAAAATATGATGAAAAATCACTATATTTCAAAGTTTCTATTTTTACTATAGTGCATGACTATAGTAGCACATAGTATTCATAGATCATATATATTCAAGACTAAAGGCCTGTTCATATTAACAAGGACGATGACTAAAGAGTTTTAATAATAGTCATAATTTTTGGATAATAGAAAAGTCCAAACCACACTGAAGAACAATATCATGATTTTTTTCTAGCTGATGAATGATACAAATATTAATCAGAAAGTTCTTCAGCTTTTAAAGACACAGACGGCTTAACTGCAGTGCAATAAAATAGTTATTGTAATGGTTATTTTTATAGTCATCGTTCTTGGTGTGAACGGAACTGCTATTAATGATATGCACACAAGTTGAAAGGAGATCTCACTTTCAACAATTTGTTTTAGGCATTTCCTGATAATGCTGCCAAGCGAGAAGTTGAAGCTCTTGAAGCTGTTTGCATCAATGAGGAATGCTGCTGGACAGGCATCATCAAAGAATATGAGGTATTGTGTGTTCCTTCAGTGCTTTAAAAAAGGTTAAACCAGCCTTGCCAAGCTGGTGCTTAGATGCTTGACAAGCTGATCTCCCAGCCTGACCAGCTGAAAGGTGCTCCACCAACAATCCTACTTTTCCAGGCTGGCAAATGTTGAGAATCCTTGAAGATTCCTCTGATCCTAGGTCAAAATCTAAAGTTTTTGACCGTCGAATAATGACCATTTCGATTATATTTGACCTCCAACGAAATTCAGTGTGGCATTGTGCTATCTCTTACGACAACCGTCAAATCAAAAACAAATTGGTGAACCTGATGACACACATAGTGAGACAACAACAAATGACCACTTGCTCCATACACATCAAGGTTTTTTTTCAAGACAGTTTGTTGCTTTGTTGCCCACCATTTCTATCCAACATGTAAATGCAGCTCATGTCACTGAACATGTCACAGATTGATAATGTAAAGCCATCATCAATGCATTTTTAACACGTCTTGACTGCCGTACAGTCTGACATGAATGACAACTTGGGTTCTACAGTGTGACATGGCTAATAGGGATCCTGTTCAAACAGTCTGTTGTAAAGGACTGTTATAAATTGTACAGTGTGCACCCGACTTAAGACCAGCAAACCATCACAAGTTGTTTTTTTTTTTTTTTTAACAAGGTTGTATTGCATTTTACATGCACTGAGTTAAAAAAAATTCTTGCACCATCTGAACGACTCTTTATCTCTCAAAGGCAAACCATGAAGGAAAGTGTGACTTCAGGATCCTTCCCTGCCCATCATGCAAAGAGCTTCTGAGAGCCAATGAAGTTGAACGTCACAATGAGAGAGAATGCCCAGAAAGGACTCTTAATTGTAAATACTGCAAGGAGCCTTTTCATTTTAAAAACATTAAGGTAAGACTTTGTTATTTACATTAAAAAGTATAACCACAGAGCTATTTTTGTTAACCATTTGTCACTGCCCTTTTTGAGCATAGATCTCAACTTAAAGGGTTTGTTCAGTACTTTACACTTAAAGCCCTGTTTTAAGATTGTTTCTGATGAAAGAGAAGAGTTAAGATTGAAATTTGGACAAATGCTGCAGAGAATTTTAGGTTTTTGTGTTAGCAACCCCCCACCTACACAATGGTTGTCTATGTGCACTGGAACAGTCATTCAAAAAACGCATTAAACTTTTGTTTACAAAAACATGAAAATCACAGAGTGGTCTGGGTGTTCACTGATATGCTCACACAAAAATCGCTGCAAAAGATGCTTTTATCGTAGGTTTTGTCCGACTCCATTGACTTTACTTGGTACAAAAACTACGATAAATTTCAATCTTAACTTTCAATCCAAATTTCAATCTTAACAGTTCTATTTCATCAGAAACGATCTTAAAACAGGGCTTTAAGTGTAAAATACCAAACTAACCCTTTAAAGCTGCAGTCTGTAACTTTTTTGGGTTGCTACCGGAAAAAAAAAAAAGAGACTGTAACCGGTGTGAACCTACACTGCTCTCACGGTTCGATTACAATTATCATGTCATTGATTCAGTTCAATATGATATCACTATGCATTAAGGTTTAAATAGACTGCAGCTTTAAATGCTAATGTTTGAAGTGAAAAAAAAAAATAGTTTGTAAAGCAAAAATACTAAACTAAACCATTTTTTATACAAAATGTGTGTGTGTGTGTGTGTGTGTGTGCATATACTATATATTCATTAATCTTTTTACAAAAGCAGAGTTTTGGATATATTTTTGTGACTATTAAAGAATATGTTTTCTAGGCTCATGATGAAATATGCCCTAAATACCCCATGATTTGTGAAGGTTGTGCCAAGAAAAAAATTCCAAGAGAGAAAGTAAGTAAATGGTATTCAGGCTGTTTACATACTGTTGTGTCGACGAGAACAAAGGTTTTATCTAGTTTATGTTGTTAAGTGATGTTTTTTTTTTTTTTAATGTGGAGAGAACATTTTCATAAATACTTTCTTTTTACTGTTATTTCCCCAATATAGTATGTGGACCACATTAAACTGTGCACCAAATTCAGAACACCTTGCAGATTTCATGTTGTAGGCTGTGATATGACGGTAGGTAAACCCCCTTTTTATGTGTCCATCAGACATATTCATTTCGTTCCATGAATGTTTTTTTTTTTTAATTTCCTGTAGGTGGAAAAGGAGAAGATCCACGACCATGAGCAAGCCTGTTCTTATGAGCACTTAAACCTTCTACTGCACTTCATCATGGGCATCAAGGTGAACTTGGAGAGTCTGCAGCCTCAGAGTTTGGAGCTGGCCGGCCATAAGATCCACGAGCTTCATCAGTCTCTGCGGGACCTGGAGCTGAAGATGGGCCAGCTGAGTGGAGCAGTGGCTCCCGTGCAGGGGGCCTGTGCTCCGCTTCCTCCACCACCGGCTCCAACACTGGGTACGTCTTTCACCCCCCTCCCTACTGCCGTCGGGGCAGCCTTGGAGCTGCAGATACACAGCGAGAAGACTAAAGTGGTGGAGCTCACCCGCCGCTGTCAGGAGCTGGAGCTGAAGGTGAGCACTTTTGAGAACATCGTCTGTGTGCTCAACCGTGAGATGGAGCGCTCCGCTACCACCATGGAGGCCTATAACCGCCAACACCGGCTTGACCAGGACAAGATTGAGATACTCAACAACAAGGTGAAGTGTTTGTCTGATGTGAAGTAGATTGTTTTTTTTTATATAGCTGATCCTTCAACCCGATATTTTTGTGCAGGTGCGACAGTTGGAGAGGACGGTAGGCCTTAGGGATCTCTCCATCGTGGAGATGGAGGCAAAGATGAGGGAGATGTCCGCTGCCACTTACGATGGC